CAACTCCGAACAATCGGAACGTGACACACTTAAAGAGGTACTACTTCTAAGGTACGATATCAATTACTCTTTGATAATATTATGAATCGGACTAACACTTGCCGGACACTATCAAGGATGGATGTGGCTAATAGGTCTAAAAGCGCGCGTTGCACTCGGGGACTATCATCCGAAAAAAGTTCGGATAAATCGAGCTACCAAATCCCGGAAGCACCAAACCTATTAGGTCGTGCTAAAAACAAAAGGCTACCCAAAAGAAAAAAAATAGCCCGGAGATGTCCGAAGATCGTAATCAAAAGTTCTGCTAAAAGTTTAACCTCGGAAAAAGCATTATCTTAAATCACTTAAGCACCTTGAAAGAACTTCCGATCGCACCAATTTTTCAAAGCCTCGAACAAACAAAGTTGTATCGAAGTCAGGCTCCGTTCGGACCTCTGAAAATGAACGACCTATAACTACATCTGATTCTATGCTAAGGCATTAGAAACATTGCAAGGACCAAAATTATGAAAAGATGCTGAAAAAGTAAAGACTCTAAATTGCCAAAAAGGGAAAAATTTATATATATATTCCGGAATATACTTACAAAGGCCCAATAAAAACGGCCTCAAAATAAACAAAAACTTAACATAAGTCAAAAACTAAAAAAGTACTAAGACATCTATGCCTATTCTTCACTAGGGACCGACTCGTTGCCAGAGCCGTTGGAACCCTCCGAGCCCTCGGAACCCTCAGAGCCTTCCGCACCTTCAAACTCGTAAAGATTCTTCGCCTCGGCCTCAGATTTTTTGGCTTCCTCGATATCAACCGACAGGTCAAAACCTCGGGCGTGGATCTCCTCGTGGGTCTTTCTTCGGAACAACTGCTTCATATATTCGGCCTTTGCCTTCAGGCGGGCCTCGGTCGCCTCCACATCGGCCTTGTATTAGGCCACCATTTCTTTGGCATCGGCGGAGGTTGTATCCAACTTAGACTTCATTTCCTCATATTCTCTACCGAGGGCGTCCCGCTTTGGGATAGCGGAGCTCAACTGTGCTCGGAGATCATCATTCAGCAGAGACCGCTTGTCAACTTTCTCTTTCTCCACCCGTAGTTGGACCTCTACCAATGCCAGATTCTCCTGGGCGGTTTCCTTCTCCGAATCTAGTAGGTCCATTTTGCTTTTCCACCCATCGGCCATGGCATGGACCTCGTTCCTCTCGGCTCGGAGTTGGTCGATCTGGTCGATCTTGTGTTGGACCTGCGAGGTTTTGTCGTTAGTCGCCACGACTAGCTCCTCTTTTTTAACTGCAAATACCTTTACCTTTTCAATCAGGTCAGCATATTACCGCCTCGGGGTCGAAGCTTCCCTCTGAGCCCTGTCCACCTCGGCCTGAAGGTCCTTGATGGCTCTGTCTTGTTGCTCACTGAGAAGATTGTACATGTCCTTTTTCCGGGCCTGCTCTTTGAGCTCGAACTCGAGCTGGCTTGTTTCCAAGCGGTACCAGAGGAAGCTCTCGTGGTGAAGCACAGAAGCCTGTAAAGAAAGGCAATTAAGTAAGAGAGATCAAAGGAAAATTGTAAGTGATTCATAAGGGGAGTTCGAAGGCGTTAGACCCTTACCCAGTTCATCGCCTGCTGTATCTCATTGAAGAGGATTGATGTTCCCACCTCGTTCATCTTTGTCTGGTCCTCCTCTGTCACTAGACATCGGAGGTAATTGGGTACGCCTATCGGAGCAGACAAGACCTGGGCATCCTCTAGGACCGTGAGAAAAACCGTCCTCTTGCACTCGAGGTCCGCACTCAACGTAGGGAATTGCTTCACCAATCGTAGGCTCATTCCCGGCCCATCAGTTCCCGAAGGCACATCCTTCTTCGATATCTGCAGGTGGCCCAGCCTGGAGAAATCTTCCAGTGTTGACATATCCATGCCATCGAAAAAGGAGTGGAGAGGGTCCTCTGCACCTTGTGCTCCTTTACTTGATTATTCTTTGCCCGCTTGGGTCTTCGAGCATAGACTCGGTGTAGGAGGCGTCTCAACGGTGTCAATCACATTGGTCGCCTCATTTAGGGCAGGAGCAGTTTCTTGGGAAGTCGTAGTATTCATCTCCACTTCGACCTCTCGTACCGGAAGGTGCTCGACCTCGTGGCCCTTCTCCCTGGTCGTTGCATGTTCCACGACAAGGGTCGATCCGTGGGCGACAAAGATATCATCTTCTTCAGGCTCAAACCTGTGCCGATAAAGCAAGTCGGAGTCCGATACCCTGGACCCAGTATTCTTCTTGGGCTTGCGAGCCCGAGTGGCCGAACTCTTTTTAATCTTCACATCGGGCCCCTCTAAGCCCGAGGATTTTCTTTTTCTCTTCTTCTCCTCCACTGCAACCCGGGGTTGCCCCGTAACGGAGGGATCAATGAATAAGGACACAGCTTTGTCCCCTTCCAATGGCCTAAGTTGGTGGTCTTAGGCAAACCTGCGAAAGAAAGATGAGAGGCAGCGTTATCTAAGGTTAGAACATAGTAATAGCTATTCGGAGGAGAACCTTACCATGAGAACGGGCCTCCCATCAGCCCTTCAGAAGTTTGCGCCATGAGCGCTCGAAGTATTACATCTGTTTGCAGATGCCTTCGATCCACTCCATAAGCTAGGGGACCGCATTAGGAACCCAGGCAACAGCTGCACGACCAAAAATACTGATGATGAAGAAGGAAATAAAGAAAAATTGACATTTAAGGAAAGGCTACACTTACGAGAAGCATTCCACTTCTTGGGGAATGGCAGGAACTCGGGAGGGATCAGATCCTCGGTTTTTACCTGAACAAAAAGCCCCTGCCAGCCTCGGTCCCCATCCTCGTCGATGCTCGAAAAAGGTACCTTGCTGGCCCAGCGAGTGAGCTTGATTAGTCCCCATTGTAAAATCCGGGGACTGTACAAACGGAGTAAATGGTCGAGGGTGAACCGAGAGAATTTGACGGTTTTCACAAAATAACGTAGGAGGATCACGATCCTCCAAAGAGACGGGTGCATTTGCCTAAGGCACACCTCGTACCTCTTGCAAAATGCCAAAATTACCGGGTCTACCGGGCCTAGCGGAAAGGGGTAAGTGTAAATAGTTAAGTACCCTCCACATAAGTGGTAATATCGTCCTTGGACCCGGGGGCAACCACGTCTTTACCTTCCTATTTGTAGTCCTCTCGGACTATGGGAAGGATATCCTCAGTAATAGAGCATATGTATCTCCATGCTCCTTCACCCCGAACCTGTTTGGATGAGGCCTTCTCAACTTTGAAATCGTCTACAATTGAGTAACCCCCGGGTATAAAGCTTTTCATTGGGGGCTCAGGGGCGGCCTCGGGGGAAGTTGCCTCAAGAGGAGCCACCTCGGAAGGAGCCACCTCGACATCTGTAGCCAGGTGGAAAGATGAAAGGGCAGCCTGATGAGGAACCGATTTGGAGGATTTAGCCATTGCCATTTGGAAAAAATATGAAGATTTAAATGAAGGTGTATGAAGTTTGAAGAAAAGAGTGGGAAGGTTTGAAGGTATGATGAAGATGTGGGTAGAAACCTAAGAACAATTATGAAGATTTGAAGACCAAAGATGAAGATATAAAGGTTTGAAAAACTTGATAGTCGCTGGTGAATTCGAAGGCAGAAGCTTGGATCGGACAGTAGAAGAAGTACAAACTGTTAGAGCTTTTATAGGAGAAATATGCAACGTTTCGCATTCGAAGGTACCGGCCGATGAATGACACATGTCCGAAGTCAGAGCGACGCGACTGATGAGATGTTTTGGCTTATCGGTTATCTCGATTGTAACGATCGAAAGAAGGAACCGGGGTTCATCTATCGTCTCCCATCGTTTCGGCAAACCTACTCTTTGGGAAACGTGGGGACTATGTGTATACGGATAAAAGATGCTATAAACGAAGCAAAGACATGACTGTATGGGGTCGGAATCGAAGCCGGGACGTCTCGTACTAAGGCTCGAACAGAGTGTTCGCCACCGAGCTTGATAAGACAACACTTCCCCGATCCCGGAATAAGCTCCGAGACCTCGGAAAGAACTACAAACGGTTGCACACGACTAACAGAGGGCCGTGATATCCGCACCCGACAGGATATCATGGAGCGAATCTCGCCCGATATTGGTAGCGTATTAGTAATTGATGTACAAGGAGGATTTTTACCTTTTTTTAGAGTTGTACTAGGAGTAAATTCCCCTACTATATAAATGGGAAGTTTCTTATTCAATAAACACACTATAACATGCATATCAATGCAATACAAACTTGTTTCTCCGCTTCTTAGTTATTGAAAAGTTCTTATTTTGATCATAGTTCTTCATATATATTTGGCTTCGAATCGAGGGTCTGGTCGAGGGCTAAACTACTGTTAAGCCTAAATCCGAGCCCTGACTCAACATGACAACTGGTTTGGTTATTTATCTTATCTAATATTTTTGATCATTTGTGTTGAATTAACCCACATATCCTTAAAACCGCGTGTAAAATCAATTGTTATCCATTTTTAAGGGTAAACAGCTTGGCGCCCACCGTGGGGCTAAGGATAATAGTGGTGGTTTGCTACAAATTTCCATAACACACTCTATTTTACGCCTGTTCTTTAAGGTCTCAATCTCAAGTAGCTTAAAAATGTCAAATTCTCAGTCTGCTGACTTAAACGTTGAGGCTGAGTCTGGCCATTATGGTGAAAACAACAACCTGGTGCCTAGCAATGAGGCACCCCCGTTGATCCCAACGGAGTCCCAGCTGCAGGTCCAATCGACGCCAATTCAAACGTTGCTATTGACTTTCTATAAATATCGTTAAATATTGTGAATTGTTTTTGCATTTGTGTTTAGATGATTTACTGTACACCCAACTTCTACATTGACAAGGGGTAAATATCATGATATGGTAGCGTATGTTCAATGTTAACAATTTGAATATTATGTAATCAAGAAACGACAAATTTATTTCAAGCACAAATCTATTTCAAGTAATGGCAACACGCATCGATCTATTGTTTAGAGATGGTCGTCCCGAAATGTATTTCCAACCAAATTCCAACTAATATCTTTTAGTAGAACATTGGTAAAAAGTAAAGACTGACTTTTTTCATCACTAAAGTCCATGCTTATTACACCGTGGAGGCAAGAGTACACTTAAAGCGGTTCACACAAAAGAACAAACACTAGTTAGTTAAATCCCAAAAAAGAAGAAACAAAAAGATAAACGTGCATGGACTGTAGCAGATCCTCAAAGGAAGAACAAAGGAGAACAAGACCTCTTTAGTGGAATTCTATGACTTGTCAAAAACATGGAGCCAGTCTCTCCAATTGTAGCACGTGAGACAATTGCAAAACGGGGTCCCAGCTGATAACCCGCAAAAAAGCCAAAGCACCTCACCATTCCACAATTACGGAAACCATTTACAGTAAACCACAAGTCATTAGTACCGCACTTCCAGGTAATCTTGATCCGCAAAAAGAGATCTGCTGCAAACATTATCACTTAATAGGATATTGACAATGGAACATATTCAATGACCTTAAATTAACTTCTAAAAATATTGAAATTCTTCTCTATACTGTATGAATGGTGTCTTCTTCTTTCATCATAACCGCACGGATTCTATTCGCAACATGATTTGGTGTCATACTCAATTTATAATCCATCTATCAAATTAAACGGTCAAAATATTAGAATTAACATAAAGCAATTAGAGTGATTGATGATAGTTTGAACCTTGAATAAATTTTAAAGGAATATTAAGTTAGTACCTGAGCAATAACGGTCATGTGTGTGGTGTTGTAGCCAAAAGGCATAACGCTGGAGCTAATGATAGAAAGATGAAGCTTTTCTACTTCGTTGAATATTTCCTTTATTATCCCGTTTTGCTTTTTGCAATATATACTAATCATGAAATTCCCATCTGAAACTCTAACTTCAATATCAGGAAATGATCGGTCAGTGCTAATGCTGGAGTTTTCATCAGAAGACGAGGAGTAGTCATCATAACTGGAGAGAACACGAGCTCTCTTCACTGCAACCACCGATTCCTCGCTACAAATATTCTTGGCTTTTTCCTCGAGAGTTTTTACTTGTCCATCAAGTTGTTTAATATATTTGATCGCATCACCTAGTACAGATGCTTTGTCCAACTGTTAAAAGAGTTAATTAGAAATTAAACATCAGTATATTTGTACTAGTGCTATGAAATTCTCTTAATTAATAACTGGAGATAATTAAAATATGAAGAAACACTAGCACAACATCAGATGTTCATTTGTTATATTTTTCAGCACATAGAAATTGAGATTTGATTAATTTAAGTAGCAATAGATCGACAAAAAACTAAAAGAGTAAGTAAAAGGATTTACCTTCTTGAGGTTAGGGATAAGGGTAGATAAAGCTATGAAACGCTGAGTGAGGCGTTCTCTTCGCTTTCTTTCAGCTACAACGTGGTCTTGTGCCTGCAAACTAGTCTTATTGTAATTCTTCTTCAGTGTACTAGTATCAGCAGCACCAAATCCCAAGGCCTGGATTAGATTTTGGCTATCACCAAAATCATCAGAGTCCATATTAGAAACTGAAGAAGAGAAGTTTAGAGTAGTTCCAGATGTCAACTCAGTCTTGACTGAGGTGTAGTTCAAATTTTCAAAGTGGTTTGACGTGGCAACAGTAGTAGTATTGGCTGATGGCGAAGTACTGGAGTAGCCATAGTTGCAAGAGGAGAAGGGCTTGTTGAAAGGCATTTCATTAAAGGAATGATCATTCATATCGGTTCCCTCCTGTATTGATTAATTTCGAAACAAAATGTCAATATAGGACACATAAAATCAAATAACACAACTCTTTACAGTAATAAGAACGAGCTTTAGTTAACTGTTAGTATACCATTTCAGACCACCATGTAGCCGATGAAATATCCATTGTTGGCAATTGCTGGGCTCGTTAATGATCAATTCTCTCTTAGGGTTAGATCAGGCCTGTCTCTGCATTCAAATCAAAATCAGTATCTTGCTTAGATCTTTGGGGAAGAAAAAGAAAATCTATATATAAGGTCTCATCAAAAGAGGGATAAGCGTACCTTAGAGCCAAATTTAAGGGCTTTCGATGGTCAAGTGTAGGAATTCTTGTGTCTTTATAGTTGCTTGAACGTTTGCGTTGACTGCAAAAGTATATGAAGAAATCAAATAAAATAGAAAACAGGTGGAAATTTTCCTCAATTATTGTGTTCTCACTCACTCACTCTCTATATATATAACTAGTTTCTCCGCACGTGCAACGCACGTGTATATTAAGTTACATGTAATATATTATTTTATAAAATAAAATTAATATTATTAAAATAGAGCTTCGTATAAGAAATTTCATACAAGAAAGAATAAGGTAGTAGTTTCTGTGAATCATTAAATTGAATCAGTCATATGATGACTTGTTTATTAGTATCGTCTGAATCTAGGAAGAAAAATAAATAAAGTTTAAATATGGTTTAAAAAAATTTATTTCTTTAAGTAGTATTGGTTAAGTAAGTTTACCTGATGAACTTCAGGCTGAAATATTCATACATTGTTTCGTTATTCGAATTTTATAGCATAATGATTTTTATAGTGATTGAAAACATGCTGGCTTTTGCCTCTCAATCCATGATCGATGCCCTTACTTTTTACTCATTTTTGATTTTTTTTCACTAATCCTCTTATATCCATGAAAGCATGGCTTGGGAAGTTTCATTTTGAAGTTGGATTTAGGAAGGGTACATGACTTTGCAGGTATTTTTTTACGTGTCTATGAATGTGACA